TAAGGGGCCGGTGAAAGTTTAGGGGAAGAGAGGCAGGGAGGGAGAGGAGAGAGTGGACTAAAAAGTCACCGTGAAGGCCCGGTGCCATGTGTCCTGGCTCTCCATCGTCACGCCGAATTTCGACTCGAAATCGGCTCTGGGGAGTGGTGGGAGGGGCAGAGAGGCAGAGAAGGAGAGGAGGACAGAGGGAGAGGAGGGGAGAAAGAGAGAGGTGACTGTGAGTTGAATCAAAGTCGCTGCTAGGCTAGGGGATGGTTGCCTTGTGCTTTCGCTCTTGATCGTCATGCCGAGCTTAGACTCAAAATCGGTTCTTGGGGGCGGTGGTGAAGGTGGGGTGGGGTGGAGTTGAGGGCGGTGGGAACGTGCTCTGGCTCTTGACAGTCACGCCAAATTTTGGACTCAAAATCGGCTCTGGGGAGTGGGAGTGGTGGGATGGGCAGGCAGGGAAGGAGAGGCCAGAGGAGGTAGTCCACTCAAAAAGTCACTATGCAAGGTGGGGGAGGACTGCGCGTGCGACGGCTCACCGCTGCGCGTGCGCGACGAAGACGATCCAGGTGATGGCGGAGAGGCCGTGCGACCCTCGCCTCTGACCCCGAAACAACCCTCACCGCTGGGCGACCCTCGCCTCTGACCCCGAAACAACCCTCACCGCTGGGCGACCCTCGCCTCTGACCCCGAAACAACCCTCACCGCTGGGCGACCCTCGCCTCTGACCCCGAAACAACCCTCCCCGCTGGGCGACCCTCGCCTCTACCTCCCACCCTTACCGCTGGGCGTGCGTGACGAAGACGATCCAGGTGATGGCGGAGACCCAGGGGCGCGCGTAGCTCGTCTCGTTCACGTACGCCTGGAAGCTCTCGCGCGTGATGCAGCTGCCGTACCCCCACGGGTTGCCGTCCGCCGTCTCGCCGAACACGTCGACCAGCCCCGTGAATACCTGCGGGCGGCAGGTGGAATGGGGAAGGGGGAAGAGGGAAGGGGGAAGGGGGATAGGAAGGCATCATGAGGCGCGATTAGCGCGTGATGCAGCTCCCGTACCCCCACGGGTTGCCGTCCGCCGTCTCGCCGAACACGTCTACCAGCCCCGTGAATATCTGCAGAGGGGAAGGGGAGAAAGGGAAGGGGGAATTGGAAAGGGGAGTGAGAATTGAAGGCACAATGAGGCGCGATCAGCGCGTGATGCAGCTGCCGTACCCCCACGGGTTGCCGTCCGCCGTCTCGCCTAACACAACCACCAAGCCTGTGAAAACCTGCGGGCGGGAAGGGGAAGTGGAAAAGAGGAAGGGAGAAGTTGCGCTCTACGGCGCCACACGGGAGCGAGAAAGATCTTGAATACGCGTGCGACGCGCGAGGTAAAGGCGATCAGACAGACGGGATTCTTCGTCGCGGCGCCTACAAGTTGCGCTCTACGGCGCCACACGGGAGCAAAAAAAAAAAAAAAAAATCGACATATGCCTGCGGCGGGAGGGCAGGGGGTCAGACAGCATCCCGCGGAGAGAAGCGCGTGAAGCAGCGCGGCCGCAGTCCTGCGCGATGCCATGCGCCGCTTCCACGGCCGCGTTCACGAGGCCGGGAACGACCCGCGGGAGGGGGGGTGGGAGAGGGGGGGGGGGGGGAGGGGGAGAGGAGGGAGCGTCGTAGGTGGCTTGCGACATTCGCATGCTGCGTTACCCGTAGAAAGCGTGCGTCGGCCTTGTGACGACTTGCGACGGCGGTCAATGAGAGGAACGACATCTTGAGTTGCTAGCAACGAGACTGGAACGGAGAGCAAGACCCAAGGAGCGAGACTCGAGCTTGACGGACGTCGACAAGCCATGGGACGTTCTACAGAGGAGGGAGGCGAATCCGAAGAGATTGCGAGACCAACGCTGCGAACGATGGCGTTGCGCGACATTTCCGAAAAGCCTTGCGACGATTTAGCGAAGCCGTGGGACGGTGAATCAAGGCCGTGCGACATTGTAACAACGCCGTACGACGTTGTCGCGGGCGAAACCCCATGCGCAGTAGCAAGCGGCGATAGTAGTCGTAGCGCCAGACATACTGTAGCTACGATGAATGCACCCGAGCGTACGAGCGACGACAACGACGGCGACGGCGAAGGCGAGAATGGTGACGGCAACAACCACCAGATCTCACATGGCGTCGTAATGTCGCGCATTGATTGATTCAGCCGCATATTCCGTCGCCGTCTGTCGCACAAACAGCCATCGCCATTCCTCGCACAGATACCCATCGAATTTCGTAGCACTAACTCCCGTCGCAGTCCGTCTCGCAACCTCCCCGGTCGCAATCCACGCCGTCAACGGCACGCTCATTTCAGACTAGAAGGAGGAACCGCTAATCCATTCTACCCGTTGGGAAAAGCACGCTCAACGAAAGATGCCAGAGCACGAAAACAGATCTAAGACCGAATCGTACGGAAAAGAAACGCAGCATTGTTACAGAGACGATTACTAGAATGTCGGACGGTTGCGACTCACCATCGCATGGTCGCTCGACGACCGAAACTGATGCACGAGCGAGCGCGCGCGTTCACCGCACCACGTCAGCAGGCTCGAGTACCGCTCGTCCTGCAGCGCGCTGTGTGAATACAGCACGGTCCACGTGGCAAGCGCTAAGCCGCCCAACAGCCATGCCACGAGAAAGATCGTAAGCCATTGTCGCTGCAGCACCACCCATGGTTGCACCTTCCCGATCCCTTTCCCCTTCCCCGGTCCCGTCTTGCCCGCGCTTCGCGGAACCTTTCCGCCGGATCCGGACGGCGCAGATGCCGCCTGCGCGGGTGGACTGGGGCTTGGCGGTTTTGCGTCTGCGTCAGCGGAGACTTCACCGTTTTGCGCGGCGTCTCGGCGGAAGCGCGGGAGGCGTTGCGAGGAACGTTTGAGTGCGAGAGCTAGGCGCTGACCCCATCCCGCAACCGCGCGAATGTCTGGAGCCATTGGGCCTCGACAAACAATGTAGATAAATAATGAGTATAAATCAGTCAAATTCAGTCAAATAGTAAATCAACTCTTTAGAAACTCTAGAGTACGATGAATGAAAGACCTCCACTCAGCGAAATAAGCGGAGCAAGAATGGGTCTTGGATTTGTGGCACAACCACCATGGCTACCAACCAAACCCTAGCCGAACCAGGAGGGCGACGCAAAGCGAAGAGCATTCATTGAACGAAAACCAACTCCAAGGTTGATTTGGTTTGGGTTGGAGGGAGCTTTGCGAGAGACGACACATCAACCGCGAACAGCACCGCTCAATCAAGATTCACCACCACCGCCTCAGCGAGAAGCCAAGTGTACACTGCGGAGTATCTGCCCGAATCCGAAATCTTGAGTCCCGACAGAGACTGACACTTGCAAGCGACGGAGCTAGGCGGAGCGATTTTACCGAGGTTCTGCTCTGCAACCAAATTCGGTGGCATCGGCGGGACGGATTTTCGCCACCAGCACCAGCACACCTGCCAGCGTTCACGGGTGGCATGGATGGCTGGAATGAGGACCATTTTGTAAGCTATGTAGATTTTCCAAAAGTGTTAGGCGTATTCCTAACGGCGTGTTGCAATTCGCGGTGCACTGCATCGGCTCAGCTCGGGGCACGTGTTTAGGAAGGATCTAGGAGAGCAAGAGGCCGTAGAAATTTTACAGGAAACGCGCAAAAAAAAAAAAAGTCCTAATATGACCTTGACAAAGCACTCTTTAAATCTCAATCTTGAAACTTTTCTTTCCCTAGTCAGTGCCCGGGTTTGGCTTCCCGCCTGCCTGACACCTTCCAGACTTCCCAAAGCGGGCTCCAGGCTAGGCAGACGTCCCTTCGACACAATGTTTGCGAGACCTAGCGAAGCTTGGTACCGCGTGATTACAGCGTAGCCCTGTTTCGTCAGTCGCGTGGCTCGCCACACAATGTTGCTGCGAGTGGAATCGAATTTTGTTACTAGTCGCCAGGCGGTCCGACCTGAAGCAATCGATACATTGCAGTCGATCGCATTCGATCGCATCGGATTGAAGCGATCGATCGCGATCGAGAGATTGCCCCGATTGGCTGAAAAAGTCATGGGGCTTCCGAAATCTTCCGATTAAGACAGATTGCCCCAATCTGCACCACCTCCTAAGGGGCACTCCCTGAGGATCGCATATTTCTGGCGTAATTGCGGCCGTGACTTTAATTTGTGCTTTGTTTTCTGAAACTCATTAACCCATACTTGGAAAACTTATACATATTACCCAAATATAGGCACTCTGCCTCTTCAACCAGTATAAATTCGTTTCTCCATCCACTATCTCTACCCACTGAGTTGCGGAGGAAAGTCATAAATGGCTAAGTGAAAAACAACCAGCACAGTCCACATAGAAGCAGGGTGGAAGCAAAAGTGAATCATTTGAATGGTCTTTTGTACAATTATAAGCATCGAGAAATTGAGGGCTTTTGAGATATGATAATTTGTTTTTTTAGCGCTGTCTCGTTGACTAATGTTTCTAAATCATACCGGCTGGAAAGCACAAAGCATAAACCATATACTGTAATACTATGTACTGTGCTTCGTATACATTTGCCGGACCAGTACCTGACAGCCCGCCGTTGTGGAAAAAAACAGCTGTTCGGAGGGAGGTCGAGCGGGACACGACACAAAAAGCCGCCACATTCCCTCGTGCGTACACAGCCTTTCCCTCCACACACACGGCTTCACAGAATCGTATCATGCCTGGCGACGCTCACGCGTGCTGGATGGACACCGCGTGGAAATGGGAACAAAACTTGATCTTTCATAGGATGACCTCATTGCAGTATAGAGTAATCTCCGTTGTAGTCAAGTAGTCTCATACGCTATGTAAATTCCATCATGCACTGAAAGTGTAGCGTAATCTGTTTCCAAGAAGAATGCCTCAAGCCTGGTTAGAACGCGGTAGAGATGGTTTGAACTCGGTGACGTTGCGTTGAATGCAGTACCCTCCCAACACCCCTCACAGAGGCGGGGTTTTGTCTAGTCAATAGAGAGACACCTGGACCATGAGTGCGCTTCGAGCCTGTTGCGCGCCAAGCGCAGCCGCACCTCTCAAGGCGGCCCCGCGCGCCTTTCTGGCGGGAGTGCGCACAGGGGCTTCGGTTTCAGAAACGTCTCTAGGACTAGGAATGCGCGCGTGGCCTTTCCGCGAGTCCCTTCCGCGCGCCCCCTTCCCATCCGCCGTTGCGCACAGAGCAGTGTCAAGCCTCTCCGTTCTCCGCTGCTCTCAGTACGCCAACGCTTTATCGGCCAGTTTCGCGCTTACCAAATATGCCACATCATTCATGAAGCGATCCACGTCAGACGGCGCGGAGCCCTTCCGCGTCGGCAAGCGGAGAGCCGTCACGACCAGCGCGGCAGGGGAGGCGGCGGGGGAGTCCGCGGGGGCGCAGGGCGGGCGGAGCAAGGGCGGGGATGCGGGGCGGGACGGGCCGTGGATGCTGGTGGGGCTGGGGAATCCTGGGATGAAATACGAGGGCACGCGCCACAACGTACGTTGCTGGGTGCACGGGACAACTTCTCCCGTAGCGGGCCTTTCTTACACTTCTCACAGACCAGCACCTTGTGCCATGGGTGCTTGTGGTGCTTTTTTTGAGGCGCCTCAAAAATCCACAGACCAGCACCTTGTGCCATGGGTGCTTGTGGTGCAGGGAATCCTGGGAGGAAGGAAGGAGGTCTGAGGGGTTGCGGCGCGATGTGCGTTGCTGGGTGCATGGGGCTGGCCTGTGAAGACTTTAAGGTAGGAACCAAAGAAAACAAAAACGGGAGGAGGGGGAAGGAGGGAAACAAAATGGGAGTTTCTGAGAAGGGGGGTGGGGGCAACAATACCGAAGGGGCTGAAGGGGGAAAGGAAACAAAAAGAGAGAGGCTGAAGGGGGGGGAAAGAAACAAATGGGGAGCGGCTGAGGGGGGGAGGGGGAACAGCGCGTCAGGTTTTGTGTTTGAGAAAATTGGGGACCAGATTTGTGCTTGCGGTGGCTTTAAAGGCGTCTCTGGATATTGAATGATGAGGGAAAGGGGAAGGGAAGGGAAAGGAAGGTAGGGAGTGTACGAAAGTTCAGATTTAAGGGTTCAGGGTTCAGTGTTTGGATTTGGGGGTTTGAAAAGGTGTATCGTTTGAGCTAAACCCTGGAGAAACCAGCTCTGGTTGGGGACTCTGGTGGTTCAGGTAAATCTGTGCCCAGCCTTTCCTTTTGGGGACTTCTCCCTTATCCGCGCGCCTCCCACCCCAGCCCACTCAAAGCTCGCCGATCCTTTGTCACTGCACTGCCTCTTTCTCCCTTGACTCCCACCCACCAATCACAACAACAGCAGTGGGTGTGTTGCTGAGGCCCCTGGAAACACACAAAGGCTCGATGCATGCATATCCCTCTCTGCTCTTCCCCTCACCCTCTCCCACCCCAAACCCCACCCCCGTAACCTTCTTCGACTCCCACCAAGTAGGCTTCGAGAATAAGGGGCGCACCGCGTGCCCTCTACTACGCTTCCCGCCTCCCTGCTCCCCTCCCTGCTCCCCTCCCTGCTCCCCTCCCTGCTCCCCTCCCTGCTTCCCTCCCTGCTCCCCTCCCTGCCCCCTCCCTGCTCCCCTCCCTGCCCCCTCCCTGCCCACTCCCTGCTCCCCTCCCTGCTCCCCTCCCTGCTCCCCTCCCTGCTCCCCTCCCTGCTCCCCTCCCTGCCCCCTCCATGCTCCCCTCCCTGCCCCCTCCCTGCTCCCCTCCCTGCTCCCCTCCCTGCTCCCCTTCCTGCTCCCCTCCCTGCCCCCTCCCTGCTCCCCTCCCTGCTCTGCTCCCCTCCCTGCCCCCTCCCTGGCCCCCTCCCTGGGCCCCCTCCTTTCCCCCCTCCCTGCCCCACTCCCTGCCCCTCTTCCTGCCCCTCTCTCCTGCCTCCCATCCGGTGGGCATCGAGCTTCCAGTCGCTTCCCTCCCACCAGGTGGGCTGCCTGCGAGGTGATAGGCGCCATAGCCAGGGCGGAGGGCGGAGGGCATATTTCTCACTGCCATGCAGAGCAGGGTGGTGCTGTGGTGTGGTGGGCAAGGGACGCACTGCACACCCTTCTCTTCTCTTCTCTTCTTCCTCCCACTATCCCTCCTCCCACCCCCCTCCCGCTCCTGCTTCTCTCCCATCAGGCGGGCTTTGAGGTGATCGACGCCTTTTGAGGCGCCTCAAAAGTCAGGCGGGCTTTGAGGTGATCGACGCCATTGCACGTGCGTGCGGAGGGGATAGACGCCATTGCACGTGCGGAGGTGATAGACGCCATTGCACGTGTCTGCGGAGGGGATACTGCTCAATGCCATGCGGAGCAAGGCTGTGGTGGGCGAGGGGTGCCTTGCATATCCCTCTTCACCTTCCGCCCCCTAAACCCCATGCCCTCCACCTTCTCTCCTGTTCTTCTCCCCACCAGGTGGGTTTCGAGGTGATAGACGCCATAGCCGCACAGAAGGCTTATCGCTGACTGCCATGCAGAGCACAGTGGCGGTGGGCAAGGGACGCCCCTTAGCTATTCCACACCCCTCAGCTATTCCTCCCCCTATCACGTCCCGACCCCCCCTCTCCCCTGCTTCAGGTGGGTTTTGAGGTGATAGACGCCATAGCCAGGGCGGAGGGCATAAGCCTGAGCGCCATGCAGAGCAAGGCCGTGGTGGGCAAGGGGCGTATTTCCGGGTGCCCCGTGCTGCTGGTGAAGCCACAGACGTTCATGAACCTCAGCGGGGAGAGCGTGAGTAGGGGAGGGGATGGGGATGGATGGGTGGTACGGAGGGAATTTCGATGGTGCCTGATTGATAGCGGAAGCTTGAAGTGCTGTTGGTGAAGCCATACATACATGCTCCTGACCAAATGGGAAAATCGTCACCATGTCACATCATGCCATGCCACGTCAACCATGCCCCAGCATACCATCATGATTATATCCATGCCCCATGATGCGCGCCACAAGCTTTACCACATCCCATACCAACCCCAGACCACCGCTCCAAATACCACCGCAAACCATACCACCGCACCCCACACCACCACAACCCATTGCAGGTGGGACCCTTGGCTCGGTTCTACAAGATTCCACCCGAACGAGTCGTGGCTGTAAGTCATATCCTGTCCCATCTCTTGCCATGCAGTGCCCTTTTGTAAATCATGCCATGCCATGCCATGCTGTGCTGTGTTGTAAGCCATGCCCATTTTACACCTGTGCTGTGTCCTGCAATTTCATGACAAAACCCAAACCCCAAACCCCTTAACCATGACAAAACCCGCAATCCTCTTTCTTCTGCCACCCCGTTCTTCAGATCTACGATGACATGGACCTGGACGTAGCTTCCATGAAGCTTCTTGCCAAAGGCGGGCATGGGGGACACAATGGGTGAGTGCAGGAGGAGGAGGTCACTTAGTGAGACACAGGACTGGTGGAAGGATGAAGGGCACTCACTCACTCCCCCAATCTTGAAGTACCTCTGCCGTCCCTTTCAGTGACAGTGTTTTGAGACGTCTCCAAGCTAAGCATCACTGAAAGGATTGGGAGTATTTCACATCCCTCTGCCTTCCCTGTCTCGTTGACTTTATCGTCTTGTCACCATCATCATCACCATCATTCCGTGTGCCTTCTCCTTGTAACCTCCCCTCATCCTCCCTCTGCCTTCCCTACTGCCCATGGTTGAGCAATCGTAAAACGTCTCCATTGCCATTCCGCTGACCACTCCCATTCCCTCATGGCCCATCTTGCCATCCCCTTTCCAGAATGAAGAGCATTATGCAGCACTTTCAGGGCTCGAGAAACTTTCCCCGCCTAAGATTCGGTCAGTGGAGATATTGATCTGGTCAGTGGAGATATTGATCTGGTCAGTTGCGGAAGTGAATTTGGCCATTTGCTGCTCTGTTGCCATGTGACCTGCCCGTTGCCATGTGACCTGCCCGTTGCCATGTGACCTGCCCGCTGCCATGTGACCTGCCCGTTGCCTTGTGACCTGCCCGTTGCCTTGTGAGCTGCCCGTTGCCTTGTGACCTGCCCGTTGCCTTGTGAGCTGCCCGTTGCCTTGTGACCTGCCCGTTGCCTTGTGACCTGCCCGTTGCCTTGTGACCTGCCCGTTGCCTTGTGACCTGCCCGTTGCCTTGTGACCTGCCCGTTGCCTTTTGACCTGCCCGTTGCCTTGTGACCTGCCCGTTGCCTTGTGACCTGCCCGTTGCCTTGTGAGCTGCCCGTTGCCTTGTGACCTGCCCGTTGCCTTGTGAGCTGCCCGCTGCCTTGTGAGCTGCCCGTTGCCTTGTGAGCTGCCCGTTGCCTTGTGAGCTGCCCGTTGCCTTGTGAGCTGCCCGTTGCCTTGTGAGCTGCCCGTTGCCCTTGTGACCTGCCCGTTGCCTTGTGAGCTGCCCGTTGCCTTGTGAGCTGCCCGTTGCCTTGTGAGCTGCCCGTTGCCTTGTGAGCTGCCCGTTGCCTTGTGACATGCCCGTTGCCTTGTGACCTGCCCGTTGCCTTGTGACCTGCCCGTTGCCTTGTGAGCTGCCCGTTGCCTTGTGACCTGCCCGTTGCCTTGTGACCTGCCCATTGCCATGTGAGCTAGTGCTCTAAACGCCTACACCTTTGCACTCCCTTGCTGGTTGACAGATCTTCTTAATGTGCAACATAATTGTGTGAGGTGCATGATGGCATGGGTGGCGTCATGCTGATGCCATTATCCCTGCATGCAGGCATCGGGAGGCTGCCAGAACGCATGGAGGTCCAGATGTATGTGCTGCAGACGTTCCTCAGCAGGGAGAGATTTCTGAGTCGCCTTAAAAACCCGCTCATCACATGTGGTTTGCATGCAGGCATCGGGAGGCCGCCAGGGCACATGAATGTTAAGGTGTATGTGCTGCAGCAGTTGCCACACAAGGAGGGATTTCTGAGTCGTCTTGTCATCTGGCTCATTCCCTCCTTGGGGTTTGCATGCAGGCATTGGGAGGCAGCCAGGACGCATGGAGGCCAAGGTGCATGTGCTGCAGACGTTCTCACACAGGGAGAGGTTTCTAAGTCAACTTAAACACCAGTTCATTCCTTCCACATGGTTTACGCGCAGGCATTGGGAGGCCGCCTGGGCGCATGGAGGCCAAGGTGTATGTGCTGCAGAAGTTCTCAGATAGGGAGAGAGACGAGGTGAGTGGAGGAGGTGGTATGTGAAACGAAGGTTTCTTACTCTGTTCTGAGACTCCTCAAAAGTGGAAGTTGTGATACGACTCATCCCAAGGTGATTAAACTGCAGTAGTCCTACAAACGAGTAAGTGAAGCTGAATTTCACTTGAACATCTCATGATTTACAGTAAGATGGTTTCTTTGCGTGCAAACCAATTTGTGGTCTATGACCCGTGACACAGGTGGATGTGGCTATAGAGCGGGCAGTTGATGCAGTCCGGTTGGTGGCAGCAGAGGGAATGGATAAGGCTGTCAGCACCTGGAATCTGCCGCGCCGGTCATCTGCCAACACCAAGGCCTAGTGCAGGTATGCATGCACAGCATGACTTGACTTGATTCGGATGCATGAAATATATGGTTAATAATGAGGTCATAAATCAAACGAGACCTGTGTTGCGATCGAGCGTACAACATGTTCTGTTGAAGATTCCTCTGTGTGTGATTCTTGCAGGGATGTCATTTATCTCGAGACTTGCTAGACTGGCTTTTGATGCTAACCAACTGATTATAGTTAGTGAATATTTTCGTGCACACTGTTCGTTTCTACATTATTTGTCCTTTCTTAGTCATTGTACTGCCCAATTGGCCTTCTATATAATTAATAATTACAGAAGACACGTAGAGAGGGGTGAGGGTAGGTTTTGTTTCAGTATTTCTTACGGTATTGTAAGGAAATTTCCTTTTCCTTACTTCGCGTCCCTGCCTACCGCGTACATGACCATACCTGCCGTAGCGCACCCCATTTCTCGCGTTATCGTTACCACACTAGCTTCGCTATATATTCTTCGCTCATCATGCCTTATGTATTGTTTTGCTTCGATAGTGCAATTCTCGCTCGCTCGCTCAATTGCACTCGTACGGTAACACTTGGTATTCAGAGCCTACGGTCTCTTCTCGGGCCGCACCCACACCTTCGCTTCCCCACTATCTCAATTTTTGGAGTGGGTAAACGTCTCTCAGCATCCAGGCACCGCCATTCGAAGTGCTCTCTCGAAAGCACGCACAGCCACGACTGAGGCTCTCGCTGAGCTTGCCCGACACCCCTGCCATGGCCGACCTCACTCTCGCGACGTTGACGCAGGAGCAACTCGACCGGCTCGTCCGCCGGCTCGAGGATTCAGCGCTCGAAATCGCGACACTCACGACGGAACGTGACTCCGCCCACCAGCAATCAAAGGTGAATGCACCAGCACCATCACAAGCATATGCAAATGCACATGCGCAATCGGAGGAGCCAATTATTATTTTGTCCGTCACACCGTCATAACATGACAGCATGGGACAGCGCTCAAGCGCAGCCAGAGATGGCGCCGCGCAATCAATGCATGGCATGGCGAGGAACAAGGTTGTACCAAGCACGAGCGGGCCTCGCGAAGCTCGTCCTCACGTTGAATTTACGGCAACAATCGGCATCAACGACATTGTCGCTCCGATGCCGCTCAAACCGCAGCGCCCGCCTTGTTTCGACCCGAGCTAACGTGGGGGTCTGACGGTTCAATCGTGGGTTTTCACGATGAACGGTTTTTTCGACGCGAATTACGTCGAGTCGGACGCAGCGAAGATCTGGTACGTTGTTATTCTACTAAGGGGCCCCGCCATGGACTGGGGGCGAGTCATCGTGACGTTGCCACGCGCCTACGAGCCGCCGACGCAAGAGGAAGAGCCCACAGGTCCAGCCGTCACCTGGAGTTCGATCTTCGAAACCGCTCACTGCAGCACGTGGGATGCGTGGTGCGCAGGGCTTCGGGCGCGCTTCGAGCCGATCGTGGCTTCTATTTCGGCGCGTCAGAAACTACGTACTTGGCGACAGCTTGGGTCGGTCCAAGACTGTCAGAACATATAGCTTACTTGTTTCTGTAGGCTATAGTGGGGTATCCCATAGGAGGTACAACCCAATTAGGGTTTCATATTTGTACTCACTTCATTTCATAGTGCATCCATTCTCGTTCACACTTTCTCATGGAATCAGAGCAGGTCCCTTCTTAGGGCCTGTTCCTAGGGCCCACCGAAGCGCGCCCCGAGGCGCGCATTTTTTTTTCGCGACCCTCCGTGTCGCCCTCCCCGTCGTGCTCCCGCTTAGGCCCCTCGTCGGCCCCGCCTAGGCCCCTCGTCGGCCCCGCGTAGCCCTCGTCGGCCCCACTTACGCCCCACGTCGGCCCCACCTAGACCCCGTCGCCTCCTCGTCGGCCCCGCCTAGGCCCCACGTCGGCCCCGCGTAACCCCCCGTCGGCCCCGCTTAGGCCCCACGTCGGCCCCGCGTAGCCCCGCTTAGGCCCGTCGGCCCCGCTTCGGCCCCGCGTTGGCCCCGCGTCGGCCCCGCCTAGACCCCGTCGGCCCCGCGTTGGCCCTGCTTAGGCCCCGTCGGCCCCGCGTTGGCCCCGCTTAAGCCCCGCCGGCCCGCCTAGGCCCCACTTCGACCCCTCGTCGGCCCCGCCCAGACCTCGTCGGCCCCGCCACGGCCCTACGCCGGCCCCGCTTCAGCTGCTGTCGGCCCCGCTACAGCCCGCCACTGGCCTCGCTACACCCCGCCACTGGCCCCGCTACAGCCTGCCACCGGCCCCACTACGGCCCGCCGTTGGCCCCGCTACAGCCCGCACCGGCCCCTGCTACAGCCCGCCGCCGGCCCAGCTACAGCCCGCCCCGGCCCCGCTACAGCCCGCCACCGGCCCCTGCTCCAGCCCGCCGCCGGCCCAGCTACAGCCCGCCCCGGCCCCGCTACAGCCCGCCGTCGGCCCGCCGTCGGCCCCGCTACAGCCCTCCCCGCGGCCCCTGCTGCAGCCCGCCGTGCTGCACGTGAGCAGCCCCAGCAGCCCGCGCCGCCCGTGAGCCCCTACGCCACCCGAGCCGCGCGAGCCGCCCGAGCCGCCCGAGCCGCCCGAGCCGCTCGAGCCGCCCGAGCCGCCCGAGCCGCCCGAGCCGCCCGAGCCGCCTGAGGAGCCGTGCTGGTGTTCCTGAGCTGTGTTCCTCTGCTGCTGACCTACCCGACTCTCCCAGCCCGGTGAGACTTTCAGCTGCTGCCATGGCCACCCCCAATGTTCTTATTTTTGACGCTGAGGGGAGGGCCATTGACTTTGCCGTCTGGATTGAAGACCTGCAGCTGTACTTACTGTGTGATGCGATAGATGAGGTCTCTCTCTTTGACTTTGTCTCTGGCGCTGTCCCTGCCCCACCTGCTGATGCTGACTCTGCCGTTCGCTCCAAGTGGGCGACCCGCGATGCTGCTGCACGTCTTGCTGTGCGTCGCCACCTCCCTTCCTCTGAGCGTGCCCACTTTAGTCAGTGCAAGACCGCTCAGGCCTTGTCCGACGCTGTAGTTGCACGCTACTCCTCCCCTTCCTCCGCTACCCTTAGCCGCCTCATGCTACCGTTTCTCTTCCCTGACCTCGCTTCCTTTCCCACTGTCCCTGACCTCGTTACCCACCTCCGTGCTAGTGACACCCGCTACCGCGCTGCCCTTCCTGCTGAGTTCCGCGCTGCGAACCCTCCTCCCATGTACATCACTCTCTACTTTCTCGTCACCCGTCTCCCTGAGTCCCTTCGTGTCGTTAGGGACCAGTTTCTCTCTGTCTGTCCCACCACTCTCACTGTTGACCTCCTTGAGGAGTCCCTGCTAGCGGCTGAGAAGAGTATTGTCGCTGTAGGGGCCTCTCGGGGTGACCCTCGCACCCCCATCTTTGAGGGGTGTGGTCCTTCCCCCCTGCTGCCCTCTGTCGCCTCTGCCGCTGCGGCCGACCTCACTGGTTTTGAGTCGGTCGGCGCGGCGTCTGCCCCCAGCGGCAGACGCCGCTCTGGCAACGGCAAAGGGGGCAAGGGAGCGGGTGGAGCTAGAGGGGGCGGTGGAGGAGGCGGTGGGGGTGGCGGGGGGAGTGGGGGTGGCGGTGGGGGTGGTGGCGGGAGTGGAGGTACTGGTGGCGGCGGTGGAGGCGGAGGTGGCGGCGGAGGTGGTAGCGGAGGAGGCGGTGGGAGCGGTGGGAGCGACGGTCATGGTGGGGGAGGTGGCGGTGGAGACGGGGGTGGCGGTGGAGGCGGGGGTGGCGGTGGAGGCGGGGGTCGGAATGGCTCGTCCCAGCGGAGCAGCTCTGGGGGTGGTCAGCGCCAGCAGCAGCAGCAGCAGCAGCAGCCGCAGCAGCAGCCACAGCAGCAGCAGCGCTCTCGCACCGTCCCCGGCCCTCAGCAGCTCCGTGAGTGGTACTTGCAGCGTCAGCGTGGTGGTGCGCTTGGTCCCTGCCCCTACGTTCTTCGCACCGGTGACCGTGCGGGGGAGAGGTGTGGAGGCGCCCACACAGCCCGCCGCTGCTTTGGCCGCCTGACCGACGCCTGGCGTCAGCAGTTTCCGGAGGCCGCTGAGATCCCCCGCTGGGGAGAGCTGTCTAGGGCTGGTGTAGCTTTTTATGATCTTGATTTTGATGCTATTCTCTCTGCTATGTATGCTGTGACTGGTAGTGATGAGGATGACTGTTACCGGTGTTTCCCGCCCGACCCGGGCATTGGTACTGCCGCGTCATGTACTAGTGAGGCTGCTGCTCTAGGTGCCAGTGCGTCTGTGCTCTCAGGTGCTGGTGAGTCTGCCCTCTCAGGTACTGTGTCGGCTTCGGCCTCTCACACCTTCACCCTTGACTCTGGAGCGTCTCGCTCCTTCTTTAGGGACCGCACCACTCTCACGCCGCTGAGTCGGCCGGTTGCGGTGTCCCTGGCTGACCCCTCTGGGGGGCCTGTCCTGTCTCGCTTCTCCACTGTCCTCCCGTGTCCGGCGGCCCCCTCTGGCACCCTGACTGGTCTCTACCTCCCCTCGTTCTCGACGAACTAGGTGAGTGGTGCTGACCTCCAGGATGCGGGTGTCCACCAGTTCACCCCTGCTCGTCAGCGGGTGACCCACTGCACGGAGGCGGATACAGGTCGCCACCTGGCTACGTTTACACGTCGGCCAGGGTCGAGCCTGTACACACTGACCACTGCTTCTCCTCCAGGTGCTACGTCTGGTAGGGTCCCTTCGTCTGGTCAGGTGTTTGCTGCAGCGTCCAGGTCTGGTCCTGAGTCTGCCCCCTGCTCGTGTCGTTGTCTGTCTCACGAGACCCTCCTCTGGCACCACCGCCTTGGCCACCCCTCTCTGCTTCGGCTCAGAGGCATGGCCTCGCGAGTCCTTGTGTCTGGTCTTCCCCGGTCTCTCCCTCCCCTTCCTCCGGGCCCTGGCCCTACCTGTGTCCCCTGTGTCGAGGGGCGCCAGCGTGCTGCCCCTCACTCCTCCCAGTTTCCTCCCACAGAGGCCCCGTTGCAGACACTTCACATGGACGTGTGGGGCCCA